ACAGGAAAGACATTCTTCTGCTTTTCAAAGACTTTCCCATCATCTGGAGCCAAAAATATTATCTTCTGACCCAAAAAGCCACTAATAAACCATATTTCTATAAGCCAAGCAAGAGGGATGATTTTGCCCTAAGCAAAACTGCAAAAGGAGATTGTTCTCCGGCTCCTCCCACCCCTACTTCTACCCTCTTTCCTGCCTCATGCTACCCTGCACTTCTAGGGGCCTCCCTACTGCCCTTGGGCAGGAGTCCCCAAAGCTGCCCCCATTCCCAGGGGCTCACTTCCTGTCTAAGTCCTCCACGTGCTCAAGTTAAAACCCCCTTAATACCCCTCCTATATCCGAAATCCAAATCCCAGACAGCTATTCAGTACAATCCCCAAACAGCACAGCCTCAGCACTCAACCTGTCTGTGTCACCATGTTTATGCACAGAATACTATGTTTCCTTTCCATGTAGGTGGGAGTTTGAGGAAGGAGAGAGGCTGCCTCACAGGGACATACAGAGGAAAGCCAGTGGCAGAATCTCTGCATATCAGGGGCCTTTTGTTATTCTAATGTAATAAAAAGGTGGATTAATGGTACTATGTTTTTTTGCTACTGACCCACTGAAAAGCCTTCAAAAAAAAGCTAAAACAGTAAGCTTTAGTTATAGAGACAGTTCCCTTGTGTGAGCTTTATGCCCCTAAACTATAAGATAAGCAAAAAATGAGATATGCTATGGTATAGTTATATTTTAAAAGATGAAATTAAAGTCCCAAATTAATCTCTCAATGTCAGCGGGGTGGGGTGGGGTGTGGAGGCATATTTTTGAGTCCTTTGTCAAAAGACTCCTTGCTTCAAAAGACCTTAACCTACTGCATACTTGAAAGTTGCAGAGCTCAATAAAGGCCCCTTTTCTGCAAGTATGCTGGACTGACCCAGGCCTCTGTCATTTACCTCCAAAGGTTAAGAACAGGAGGTGAGCACCTTCCCTGCTCCCTACACAGCCACACCTCTGACTCTCCATCTCTGCCTAGAAAACAGAAGAGTCATCACTTCCCTCCCTGGGGGCTTACAGAAGGCTTCCTCAGCACCCAATGACAATAGAAATGTTAGTTATTTATAACACCCAATAGTGTGCCCTGTCTGTAAGAACAGAGCTCGAAAGCACAGAGACTGTTTTTAAAGTATGATACAACTGTGGGTGGAATAACTCCAATGATGACCTCCTCCTCAAAATACCAGAATGTGAGATGGGTAGATCCATCCAAGGCCACGAGCCTGTCCACACCCACCACCTTCCCCTCCCTCGAGGTGGCTCACTCTCCCCAGGCTGTCCCCTCAATGCTGGAGCCCCCTCTAGAATCACTGCTGGGCCACTTCTCATCTCGTTCTGTATTCTCTCCCTGGGAGAATTCATCCCCTCACCTGGCTTCACTGACACCTCATAACTCCCAAATGCTGGTCAACACTCAGCCCAGAGCCTCCTCCCACTGTACACCCTGCTCCCTTGACAGAACCACCTGGAGACACTGAATCTGTTTATACTGAAATGGACATGTTCTCTCCCCACCTCCACCCCATGCTTGCTCCTTCTCAGAGGTTCCTCACAGCATCACTAATCTCCATCATCTTCCTTTCCATACAAGCAGGACCTCCAGGCCATCTTGGTGATCTCCAAGATGTGGGTCTCTAAGATATATATATTGTTAAGTAAAAAAAGGAAGGTACAAAACTATGTTTAAGAGTACACTATCTTTTACATGTCAAAGGAGGGACTATGAATATATATGAGTATATACAACACACATATATGCATTTTTTTGTTTTAAAAAAAAGACCAAAATAATAAAGATAAATTACACTAATAAAAATGGCTTCCTATGGGAGGAGGAAGGGAATATGGTGGAGGGTAATGAGATTAAAGGAAATATCTACAAATGTACCTCATTATTCTAGTTTGACTTCTGAAAATGTTATATACAAATGTTTCATATAATTTTTTTAAAAATTAAATCAAAAAGAAAAAAATCCTTAGAAACTAAAAACAAATTGAAGCAAACTAAACTAACTATATGCCACTGTGGGAATGTACCTATACAGAGAAAACCTTACTAAAAACAGTATTCTGACTGCAGCTCCCTACAGAAACACATTCTTTCTGTTGTGCTGTTTTTTTGGGACAGGGTCTCACTGTGTGGTTCAGGCTGGCCTCATCCAATTTGATCCTCCTGCCTCAGCCTCCCAAGTGCTGGGATTGTAGGTATGAAACCACCATGCCCACCTATAGGGACACAGTCTAAGGCTAAAGAACCAAAAAGAAATGGTAAATTGTTAGTAGTAAATACAACACAACTATTTTAAAACTGTAGTTACTATACTATAAGTGAGAAGAATGGAGTTAACGTTAAAAAGACTGTAATCCTTAGAAAAGCCGGATGGAAGATTGGCCCTTAGCTTGCATCTGTGAACTTGGATTTCAGGGAGTTCCCACCATTTTCAGAACTGATACAGAGCAGCTCACTGTGCCCAAACCGTTTGAGCAAATAATACAGCTTATGCTGAACACTCGCTTTCTTCTGGAAATCTATAATTTGGATACATATAGGCAGACAAAACTTGTGTGACCAGTCCCAGTAAAAGCCCTGGTTACTGAGTCTGTAATGAACTTCCCTGCTAGAAAACATGTCACACCATCTGTCACATCTCCACGTGACTCCATTTGAGAGCACCCTTGGAGCTCTGTCTAGTTTTTCCCGTCTTTACTCCATGTACCTTTTCTTTGCTCACTTTGTTTTGTATCCTTTCACTGTTAAAGACCATAGCTGTGAGTTCTCCTAGGGAATTGTGAACCTTGGGCCCTTCTGATACAGCAGAACATAGCAAATAAATCATTTTGTTAACATTACTAGAAAACAAGATTGCCAGCACAAGACAAAGAGATACAAAATACAAGTATAAAATCATGTAAACAGGCTGGGTATAGTGACAGATACTTAAAATCCCACTACTTAGGAGGTTGAGGCAGGAGGACTGGAATTCCAAGCCAGCCTGGGCAATTCAGTGAAACCCTGACTCAAAATAAATTTACAAAAGTGTTGGGAATGTAGCTCAGCACTAGAGTACTTGCCCAGCATGTGCAAGGCCCTGGGTTCAATCCCTAGTACCATAAAATAAATAAATTAAAAATAAAATCATACAAATGAAAACACTATAATCTTAAATTTGAATTGGAAATACCAGTATGAAATCACAAGTCTTTTTTTTTTTTCTTAAAAAATTATTTATTTGCTATTTTCAGTCACTAAAAAAAGCACAAAAGCAATTACAGTTCAGTACTGCTGATCACTTCAAGTATTCTAACTGTGGTCTCTAAATCCTACTTTCCAGCTAAGAAGAACTAGGGATTTTTGGAGAAATGAGTGATTCCAGAATTGTGGCAGGAAGTGTTCAAAATGAGCCCAAGACATCGTATTGAGCCAGGAAACAAAGAAGCTATCAAAGACTTGAAGTACGACAAGAACAAAGACACCAACTTGAAGGGTCTCCCACGGCAACAAAATGAGCGGTAAAAACCCAACAAATTAAAACACATCAAATATATACAAGTATATTTCAAATGCATACGACAACCAAAGAGTCATTGGTCAACCTGAGAAGTTTGTAGAGCTCAAACTCACTACTTTGAACATTCATAAAGGGAAAGAAGCCAGCTTTTATCCAGCATTTCAGAATGTCCACATAGATGATGAGAAAACGTCCTTGTTGGAGAATTCCAGCTAGTGGAAGAAAATGGCAAATCCTAAGCAATGGTCATCAGTAGATTTTAAAACCATTTACGTGAAAGACTGATGGGGGGATTTTATAAAGGATGGATCAGGTGACATCACCTCACCTGACTAGAACAGTGATGGCAAACCTTTTAGAGCAGTGGTGGTGAACCTATGGCGTGAATGCTGCAGCAGGCCTTGTATCCCTGAACCAGCCTGCTGTGACACACATGCCATAGGTTTACCACCACTGCTCTAGAATCTCTAATAGAATGTGTGGCAGCCAGATGTGCCTGCTGACATGCAGCCGCAAGTACACAGCACCAGCCATGAGGTATTTGCATCAAATAACCCGCTACATGGACTCGGGCCTCTAGATGGAATCTCCTGTGGGTAACACGTATGGCAACCGAGAAACACATTAGATAACCCCATGGAAAAGCAACTAGCCAAATCTTGGGATGCTGGTATCACAGATGACAAAGACTTGCTCTCTCCAAAAATAAATGGAAAGCTGTCCTCCCCATTTCCCTATTTGACCTGGAAAAAATTGGGGAGGAGGTTATGTGCAAGACTGGACAGAAGGAGGGTGTTATAGACTAGTATTTATAGCTAGTCAAAACAACAAAAAATGCAAATCTCATCATGTCATTCCCTGCCCACACCCATAGCTCCACCTCTCACCATGTCCCGTCTGTATTCTGACACGGTCACTTTCATCAGTTCTTGAACTAGTGCGTTCTTCACTCCTCAGGTCTCTCACATAGCCAGTTCCCTATCTCTGGAATGCTAGCCTCACCCCTTCCCTATTTCACCCAGCAGAAGCCTGCTCATTCCTTCCATCACAGCTCAACACTGTCTCCGCAGCAGTAGGGCCTGCCCAGCCACTGGCCCAAAGTATGATCAGGTCCCCCAGCTCCTTGTTATACACCCTCACTGTACTCTGTGTTTCCATGGGAGCAAATGGATTTTGTTTATATTTGTTTCCTCCCCAAGGACTAGAAGCACCCTGAAGGTAGACAGCCCATCTGTCAGTAATCTGACACACAATGAGCAATAAAAATCTTAATAGATGTTTGAACTAATCAAATATTAGTCATGTAGTTCAATATACAGACTAGGATTCTGTAACACACAAAATCAGTGAGACCCAGCATCATCCCTGCTTATCTTGGCTGTGGTGACATTTAGGTTAGTATCCAGAACTTAGCATGGCACTCTCAGCACCTAAGGCTCACAGGGAAGGACTCACCGCTTCGTAAGACTTGGGAATGGGTACGATGATGGCCAGCACGCAGATGAGCTGGAAGATGGCCCCCAGGAAGAGTCCATACCGCAGCAGATTCTCCAGGAAAGTGGGTTCAGGCACCTCAGGAGGTGAGAAGTCCAGGTCGGAGGCCATGACTCAAGCTGTCTGCTGCCTCAAGTCTCCTCTGATTTGCCACTCTCCAGCGCCAACTTCTAAATGCAAAGAGTTAAGTGTCACGTTTCTACAGTGGACTTTAAACGGCCTCCCTTGCACAAACACACATACATACTGCAAGAATATATAAAGCAACTGTGGTGAAATGTTAACAATTCTTGTTTTTGTTTTTTTTTGTTTGTTTGTTTTTCTCCGGTACCGGGAACCGAACTCATGACCTTGCGCTTGCCAGGCAGGCGCTTTGCCGCTGAGCTAAAAACCCAGCCCGACAATTCTTGAATCTAATTAGAAAATACACGGGTATTGAGTGAACCATTCTTTCAACATTTTTGTATGTTTGAAGTTTTCCAAATATAAAGTTGAAGAAAATAAGTAAATGCAAAGGGAAACTCTTCAATGAAAATCTCCAATCAATATATATTTGTAGAAGTCCTACTATGCTTGTTTTATTAATCCATTTATGTATCACCTAGTCATTCACTCAACAAATACTTATTGAGTACTGAGCACCAAAGAGCGAGCAAAGCAGACACATCTCTGCTCCTTCGGGATTCCTGCTCAAGATGGAGCACAAAACACTTAAGAAGGCAGGAGTCATTTTACTTTGTATGCTGTGACAGAAACAGCCTCTTTGAAGAACAGAAATGAGAATGGTGGGCAGATATATGAAGTGAGTGGGCCATCTGCTAAGTAAAGCACCCTCCAGGGACAGAGAAAAGCAAGTACAGAGGCCCAGGGTGACTAATATGGCCAGAGAGGTGTGATCAGGATCGAGAGTGGAAGCAGGTACGATCAGAGGGGAGCTGGAGCAGCTTCTGTAGAACCCTGACATTTGTTATTCGATGGAGTAAAATGTAAAGTGTTTTGAACAGAGAAGTGACATAATTACAAAATCACACTTCTTAATGGGGAAAGGACACCGAAGGGAGGGGGCAGAGTGGACATCGTGAGACCGGTAAGGAAGACAAGAAATGCTGGAGGTATGAATAACAGAGGCAGTGGTGACCAGTGGTGGTAGGTCCAGCTTCTGCCCATCTCTCACCTTCCTCTCATCACCACCACCCTCAATCCTAATACTCTGGTTAATCTGAAAGAACTGCAAGGGTTCTCCGAGAACACTGAACTCTGCTACCTGGGGCTCTGCCTAAGCTGTACACTCTCCCAAAAGGGGTCTTTCCCACTCTGACTGCTTCTGAAGCCCCCATTCTACCTCCAAGGCTGAGCTCAAGAATTACCTCTATCTAACATTTCTCACCCTCCTCCTCCTCCCCCAGTAAAAATGAACTATTCTCCCTCTCCCACAGCATACACAAATGGCTTCCTTCTGCCCACCCCAACGATAGAAGGACAAGAGCACCAGGTGCACCAGAACCCATAACCCTTTTCAAAGATCTGCGTCACATGCAATTTTTGGCAATCTGAGCTATCTAACTGTGGCTATGAGCCACCTGTGGCTATGTGGATTTCAAATAAAGCTTGTCTGAACTGAGATGAGTGGTAGGTTAAATACATACTCCGTTTCAATGACTCTGCATGAAAATAATGTAAAATATCTCATTAATGTTTTTAGCCCAACATGGTGGTGCACACCTGTAATCCTAGCTCCCTGGGAGGCTGAGGCCGGAGGATTTCAAGTTCAAAACCAGCTAGGGCAACTTAGACCCTATTTCAAAGTAAAAATTTTTAAAAGCCTGTGGTAGACACTTGCCTAACAAGCACAAAAGCCCTGAATTCAATCTCGTCATATATATATATATAAATAACACGTTGAAATGATAAATTAAATAAATTATAATACAAAGAACAAAGAATTGAAACTCTATGATTTCAAAACAACTACAAAGTTACAATAAGACAGTGTGATACAACAATAGACATACTCTTTAAGAATATAAACCTAGACCACAGACAAACAGAGTAATAGAGAGTTCAGAAATAAATACTCAAATACAACTCATTTTCAAACAAGGGAACTAAGACCTTCTCAGTAAGGAAATGGAAGTCTTTTTAACAAATGCTGCTAGGAAACTGGATATCCATGTCCCAGAGAATGTAAAAATTAACTCAGAATAGATCAAAGATCTAAAATTACATAATTATCACAAGAAAGCATAGGGCGAAATCTCTATGACATTGGATTTGGCAAAGATCCCTTGGATGTGCAATCAAAAAAACAACTAACAGAAGAAAAAATAAATTGGACTTCATATCAAAATTAAAAACTTTTGTTGGGCATCATGATACACATTTGTAACTTATGAAGCTGAAATGGAAGGATCACTCTGAATTTGAGGTCAGCTTCAAGCCCAGCCTCAAGTATAAAGTGAGACCCTATCTCAAAAATAGTAACAACATAAAAAATTAAAAATATGTGCATAACAGACCATTATCCAAGAATATGAAAAGACAGCACAGAGAATGGGAGAAGATAGTTATAAATCATATAGGTAATGAGGGTCTAGTATTTAAAATATATAAAGAACCACAACACAAAAACACACATACACATACATACACCACCAAAAAAACAAAAACAAAAACCTCAATCCAATTTAAAAATGGGTAAAGGACACATGCTACAACATGGACAAACTTTGAAAGCATTGTGAAATGTGAATAAAAAAGCAGCCAGACACAGTAAGACAAGTATCCTATTATTCCATTTATATGAGGTTCCTAGAATGGGCAAATTCAGAGAGCTAGACATAGAATAGAGGCTACCTGGAGCTGGGGCAGGGAGGGGAGACTGGTACTCTTTACTAGGTACAGGTACAGAGAGGGAAGGGAAAAGCGGGGAGGGGAAAGGAAAGGAGGGAGGGGAGGGGAGGGGAGGGGAGGGGAGGAGAGGAGAGGAAAGGAGGAGGAGAGAGAAAAAAGGAAAGAATTCTATGTTTGTTTGGAGACAGCTATTAAAGAGTACTTCTCTCCCCTCCCTGCCCCAGCTCCAGGTAGCCTCTATTCTATGTCTAGTTCTCTGAATTTGCCCATTCTAGGAACCTCATATAAATGGAATCACAGTCCAAGGTGGCCTTAAACTTGCGGTCCTCCTACCTCAGCTTCCCAAGTGCTGGGATAACAGGCATGCATCACCACATCCGTCCTACTTATTTATACAATGAAATAAAAAATTCTACCAATTTGTTTTTTACATTTTTCTTCATTTTTTACTTTTTAAATGGAGGTACTAGGAAAGTTTTAAATTACATGTGTGCTATATTTTATTTCTATGGGGATGGCCCCAGACACAACCAACTATCTGAAGACCTTCTCCCACTTTCGCTATTGCTCCTCTGCTTTACCATTCTCTTCAACATGAAGAATGACTGAATGATAATAAATTTATCTACTAAGTAAACAGAGAGAGACACACACAAATGTTATTTCCCTTTCAGCCTGGTCACTTCCGAAGGTTATGTGCATGGGCCAGCAGAGTAGCCACCTTTCATAGTAGTTCTGTCCACGCGGGGTACAGCCTTCAAAGCCTGCAGCCCATGTATTTTCAGAATGCTCAGAGCTGGCAGATCTTCATCCTCCCAGGAAGAATCTGACTTCTGGAAAAAACCCAACATCATCTGGTTCCAAGTGTGGTGAATCAGGTGGGGCATCATGCTCAGGAATACCATTTTTGGTCAAATACAAGGTATGACGCTCGGACTCCAGAGAGACTGTTTGGAGTGGCTCATAAACTGGCCCCGAAGTGAATTCCACAGCAGCTGCAAGAACAGCTTCCCCGTAAGAACCACCCAGCCCCTACGAGGCCCCAGCACATGAACACTAAGGTTGAATTACGTGGTCTTAGTGTACACCTGCAATACCAGCACTCTGGGAGGCTGAGACGGAAGGATGCAAGTTCAAGCCCAGCATGGGTAACTTTCTGGACTTAATAAGACCCTATCCAAAATAAAAAACTGAAAAAGGGTTGAGGATATAGTTCAGTGCAAAGGTCCCTTGGTTCAATCTCCAGCATGACCGCCCCCCCACCACACACACGAAGAAAAGTAGTCTTGTTTCTTCAGTTACACCTTATAAAGTAAAATATCCTTGGCCCCAAGCTTTATGCTTACAGTTGTAAATACTCAGATTTATTACTGCTACTAAAAGAAAGCAATGTAATTATGAATATCTAGGGTGGTACAACAGAGACAGGGCTGGGCATCGGGAAGGGGTGAAAGGTGAAGGAGGCAACACACAGAGTCTGACGCGAATAGCAAGTAGCTGGACTTCAGGCTGATTTCTTCACAACTTACACTCAATGTGCTGAGCCAAACAACAACAAAGTCTATTCAAAGCTCTGATACATTTAGGCTTTTTAAAAAGTGGCAATTAGGCAATATATAGCAAAAAGCATAAAAGTGATCATATCCTTTGGCTGAATAACTTACTTCCTAGAATTGATACTAAGGAAACAATTCAAAAGAAGAAAACGCCTTTGAAAACGTTCATGGCAGTGTTATTCATAATACTGGAAAACAGGAAGCAACTCATGTCCAAAAGTAAGGAGGCAGTTAACCCAATTACGGTATATTATGGTATAGTCCCCCTTTACTAAAATGGCAATATAAATGCTATATCAACACTGTTATCAGGTGAGTGTGAAGTCTGCAATAGTGTTGAAAAAAGTAAACTGAAAACAACTGCATCAGCACTGTGACTGCAACCATGTATAATCTGATTTCCTTGGACAAAGATCAAAAGCGGCCATAATAAATAGCTGCTAGTAAATTGGAGTCCTAAGCTTTAATTTTTTTGTTACGTTATTGGAACAATGAATACAGTTTAAAAGAAACAAATCTATGTCCTACCTACTTCCTTCTTAAGACTTTTATTAGGGTAGAATCAAGTACAGTCTAATAAAACTATTACTGACAGAAATGTTTTTCTATCTTCGTGCTCTCCAAATGGCACACACCAGCCACATGCGACTACTGAGTGCCGCATTAAATGGTTACAGAGGAACCAAATTTTTAATCTGAATTTTATTTAGCGTTCCTGTGTGCGCACGTGCACGTACAATACCGAGGACTGACCCCATGGCCCT